TCCTACCTTCCAATCTCTTTCCAATCCACTGGAGCTAAAACAACTCCCTGAAGCAATCTTCAAAGCAATATTGAAAGCTTACCAGCAAGTCGCTGTCTATAAGCACATGAAAAATTAACTCTTAGTTTACAGCCTACTTTTCATTCCAGGAGCCTCAAAAATCTTGACAGGCTGCCACTGTATGTTGAGACAGCAGCATCCAAAGGCTTTCTTATTAACCCAGCACTTTTGCAGTGCTCTTCACATACTTACAGCTGAGACTTCTGGCACATCCACTAATACTGCTTCCAACACTGATACCAGATATTGATTCTGCAGGATTATCCTCCCCCACCCTCCCTCTTCAACACTCATTTTACGGCTCTAATTCTCACTTGGAAGTAGGATCTCCCTTCGATAGCCAGATTTATGACATCAACAGCAAGCGAATCTAAAGTTCAGACGTCTGATAACACTCTTCAGTAGCTAAGAATAACACTGGAATAGGACACTAAGGGAAGAACGGATCTTCTGCACAGACATCACATCCAGAAACCACATTTACACGGTTAATTAAGCAGCTTTCACAGCCAGCTTTAAAATACAGGCAACTATCACAGAGGAACTAGTCTCCAGGAAACATCAAAGATGAACTACGGAGGTAGAAATCCAACAGCCTATCCAACAGGACGTGTCATTTACTGTATTAGGTAAAAGTGCAACAATACTGGCCTGTATCTTAGCGATATCACTAGTGCATGGTGTTCATGGTCCTCAAAGTCTAACTTCTGCATCAGGAACTGCATTTACCAAGGATTATATCTTTTCTGCAAATATAATGGTAATGTAGAGCAAATCCACTAAAGTACTAGCTTCCCTATCCTAAATATGAAGTGGGAATATCTCAATTGTGGGTAAGGTAGATTACATAATTTAAAAAAAAAAAAAAAAAAAACACACACACACACTTCAGTTGAAGGAAGCAGAGGCCAATTTTTCCCCTCACTTCCCTCTTGGGAGAAGGGTTTTCTAGTTAAGCATAATCAAGTTATGATGTGAACATAGCTTACAAACTAGCAGTAATTAACTTTTATCATCTCCTACGGAAGTTGCCAGCTGCCTTGCATAAAGTCACAGAGCCGACAGACTGTTTCAACCTATAGCGAGGCCTACTATAAAATGACAACGTTTCTTCCATTAAATATAGATCAGTGAAGCAGTGGCCAAGTGTAACATGGATTATTTAGTTTGCACACTTCAAATATTTCCAGATTTAAGTGCAGCCTGCAATAGTAAAGTCATAATTACATCCTTCCCTTCAATTTGTAATTAACTGTCTGCATGAAAAAAAGCTTTCTTCACACTAATATAGCTTCCCGATGTTACAACACTAAGAAGTGGTCAAAAAGGGAACCCCTCACATTTTTACTATTTGCAATCCATCTTGCACAAGAGCAAGATCTAAGTCTACAGTGACATAAATTTGTCTGCCAATTAAATTTTATCATCACAGCGCATGAAATTCTAAATATAAGGATGAATGAGCAGAGGAAAAGCTGTTTCAGTTCACCAAATTAAAAGTAGTTTCTGAAATTATAACAGCACAGCAGAACTTCAAAATACAAGTTTCCCTAAAACTAGAGGCAGTGTTTTGATCGAGGCTAGCAACTCTACACAGAATTCCATAAGATAACTTTATGAACATAATATCACATCAAATTACACTGGATAACTGGCGGATGGGGGTATTTTTTCAAGACAGACCACAACCATCTTTGGAGAACAGGCTCTATTTCTATACATTCTCTATAAGTTCTCCTTTACCTTTTCTTTCTTTATCCCAAACAGTGAAGTTATTTTTGTCTTGCACAATCTCGTTCAGTACATCCTCTCCAAAATAAGTGGGGAAATAACAGTTTTATATATATACACACACACACGCACGCAACAGATTTGTGGAGAGACTATCAGTTGATCAGGGCACTACTGCAGCAGTGTTTCCTTACAAATTAAGTGTGCTCATTATAATTACTGAAGGCAAAATGAAACAGCAATCCCATTCCTAACAACAGAAGACACATCACCCAGTGAGGCATCAGCCCCTTTTAAACAGGGCCTTCATCAGGGAAACACGTTGAGTTTTTCCAGGCAGCGTTTCTCAGAAAAGTAACGGCAGAAACAGAAAGAAGTGAACAATCAAAGCCTTTCACGGCAAGAGAACCTGAGCAGGCGTCTAGATGCAGACACGCAGACCACCCCTCCGCAGAAACACGCGCGCGAGGGACCCAGCGCTTGGCTCCCTGCAGCACCTCGACGGCGTTTCTACTCTGTTCACACCAAAAGGGCTCCAAAACAAGCGCCTGCGTGGTGAGGGCAAGAAGCCAGAGCCGCAGCAGCACAAGCTAAGCTAGCAAAGACAATGTCGCCCCAGTACGTACATCAGGGCCACGGGAGGGAAGCGGC